CATACGGAATGGGAGATTTTGACACTATAAGCCGACATTCAGCTGAAGTCCAGAGCGCATGAACAGTTCTGGAACTTACTGGCAGAGGGAAAGTACCCAAACATGAGAAAATGTGCTACCTCCCTGACTGCATTATTCGGCGCTACTTATTTATGAGTCAGCCTTTTCCCACATAAAGATGATTAAGTCCAAGTACCGTTCCACCATGACTGATGATCATTTGGAAGTGTGTTTGAGGCTGGCTGTCAGTAGCTACTGTCTGGACTATGCATCCCTGGCTCATTCCATTCAGTGCAAGTCATCAGAGTAAACTCAGGTAATGACAAAAAATTTACATAGTTAATTGTGCTGTGTTGTGCAATATGGACTCATGTGGTTATGCAAGGTACATAAACATACATATAAAGAATTCTCAATGTATTTATGAATAAATGTAACAAATAAATAAAAATGTTTTGCATTTTTGTAGTTAGTAGATCATTTTGCCTTGATTATTTTATAACTACCTCAACATGCTGAAAAAGTGTGAGCACCCCTGCTCTAGATAAAGCAGCCAAAGACATAGATCTTTTTACAAATTTTCAATTTGAGATTTAGCAAATAGAAAATTTCTGTTTATTTGTATCAACAAACCAAAAAGGGAATCAAGACTCTTACACCTTGAATAGGTTGAGATGGAACGTGAGAAGATAGAGGAAGTGGTGAAAAAAAGTCTAACTTATATCAAGAAACTCAGGCCTTTATCGCTGTGAAACTACAAAGAGGTCAAAGACAAGAGAAGATCTGAGAGAGAAAAGAATGAAGGCATCAGGCTTTTGACACCAAGTTCAGAAAAGAAGCAATTCTTTTAGGATCAGGTTCCTTTGAGATTTATCCCTATGACAAGGATGTCTCCTGATTAAAAGATGTGGAACATGTTTGGATACAAAAGCATGTATAGTGAACAAACCCAGGCATCGTCGTTGCCACTTAAATTAGAAAAATGCAGCTAGAACATCTGATTATGATGTAAAGACATTTTCCTAAATGTCTTTATGTAACTAAAGTTTACATAAGAGTATTTACATAAAGAACGAAGTTTACATACAGACTCCGTCTTTGAGTGATATGGGGTCACTATTAGTCAGAAATGACTTCATGCCAAAGGGCTTGATTGCCTTAGGAAAGGAAGAGAACAAGGAACAAAGTGAGCTTGGAAGAACTCTCAAGGATGAACTTTTAGGGAAAGGAGTTGTAGGTGTGGAATAGCGCTGCAGACGTCTATGGCAGGCGGTTTCCTCCTAATTACCAGCAGGGCCAACTAAAAGGTTCTAGCGGTTCTTTTCTGGTTGTCCTATTTTTTGTTGTTTTTTGCGGGTTCGGGTTGCGTGTACACATCAATTTACACTAGCAGGATGACAGGAGGAAAAGAGCAACATAGTACATAGAGAGGACGACTCTGGCGTCCAATTGTCCTTCTTTTCCTCTGCAAGTGCGCATCGCACACCAATTTTTCAGTCTCCATCACGTTCAAGTTACAAAGACGTCAGCCAGGTGTCCCGTGTGCGTTCCTGGGAGTTCAGGCGGACGCTGCATTCCAGCAGAGCGTTCGGCTTTGAACGATCCAAAATGCCCGAACTTCGCTGTTTATTCCAGCGCTAGAACCCTGGCTCTCTGCCAGGCACTGAAAGGAATGACTCACACACGCCAGGGCATGAAATCATCGCGGCCGAGAACAGGTGAAAAGTTGTTCTAGTTCTGTGTGCAGGAGCATACAACTCCCGTCATTCCCTCTCAAAAACCAACAAATAAACAGAGGCAGCGCATTTCGGATGCAGCGGCGGCCCACGCGCTACGGCGCCTGGGATTTGTAGTTTGCTGGCGGAGCGCAGTCGCGCGCCGACGCCCAGTGCCGAAGGACGGAAACTACACTTCCCACATAGGCGCAGGAGCCGGCACCGGCTGGCTGACGTCAGGGCTCCGGCCAGCCAATAGCAGCTCCGGGCGGCAGTGAGGCGAGCGCCGTCAGGCGCCAAAGTGTTTCTTTTCTTTCTTTCTTTTTTTTTTTTTTTTCCGGAGCTGAGCGGGCGCTGCTAGCGGAGGCGCCATATTGAAAGGGACAAAACTCCGGCGACAGCGAGTGACACAAATAAACGCCTGGACGCCCTCGTTCCCTCAGCTCTCAGGCCGCGATGTTGTACCTGGAGGACTATCTGGAGAGTGAGTGCGCGGCGCTGGCGGGGCCGTCGCTGGAAGCCGCGGGCGGGCGAGAGCGCGAGTGGCCGGGCCGACGGGATGGCGGGAGGGAGGGAGGGGGCGGCGGGGGATGTTTCTTTCTCACGGTAACTGGCAGCCTCGTTGTGGCCGCCGGCTCCCTGCCCTCCCCCCCCACCCCGACGCACGCCCCGCACCCGGTGACGTAGGCCCGTCCGTTCGTTCGCCGTTGGTCCCGCCCCTCTGACGGATTCTGCCTTTGACAGTGATTGAGCAGCTGCCCATGGACTTGCGAGACCGCTTCACGGAGATGCGCGAGATGGACCTGCAGGTGCAGAGTAAGTCGCGGGCTTTGCTCCCGTCCGCCGCGCGCCGGGCCTGCCCTGGGGCTCCCCCGCGGCGCCTTCGCGAGTTTATTCTAAGTTGGCCAAAAGAACAGGCACCGCCGAGTTTGACTGCGGCTTTCCCGCGGCGTTTCCAAAGGAAATATTGTGGCGATTCCTTTCTCAAGTGAGACTGTGACCTTCCCCCCGCCCCAATATTTATTTATCTATTTGGAGTTGAACTGGTGTGCATTCATTGGACTTAGAACAGCATCTGTGTTGAGGATGCGGACTTCAGCTGTGATCCCGAACTAAGGTTTTAGAAGTCATGGAGAGTTCAAAATCAAAAGCCCCTTCCATGAGGCAGTCTTGTACTCTGTGCCAAGCGATTGGTGCCAGGCAGGGATACGGGGTCCTGTATTGTCTTTCCACTCGCTCTCTTCCAAGTAAAAATAAGAACTCGTAGAAAAAAGTCATGCTTCTGTTAAATGTACTCGCCATAAAAAGTTCCCAGAACTGAAAAGGGCCAGCAGCACTGGGGGCAGGTAGGTCATCAGAAACTCCTGGTTATTTGGAATGCTGCGCTCTGAAGAATTAACATGAAACGAGGAGGGAAGAGACAAAAGATTTAACTGCCAAGCTAGTTGTCTGCTGTAATGAATCATTTTCCTTTTGTTGCTCGCTGGGGATTTGCATGAGTTCTCCAAAATTATCGTGCTGTTTCACAGAGCAGTGTTTGCACAATAGTCGGTTCTAGGAAGGGCCAGGGCAGATGATCGCCTTCGAGGGGCCCTGGAACACACTGCAGTTCTATGCAGTGCTTTAGTTTCCTAGATCATGGCTTGTTTTCCTGACCAAGTGATTTCAAAGACCCACTACTCAGATATGACATAGAAGCATTGCAGTTGGGTCTCACAAAGTAAATACTAACAGTGGTGTTACATCTCAAAACAAGAAAGCAGCATTGAGTACCAAATTTATGTTCACCTTGCACCTCATGAATTTTCCCCACTGTCAAGTTGATATCCTGAGAGAGATTTTGTTTAAAATTAAGTGCAGAGAAGAATAGTACAATAGCGAATTAGAGTGTATGATCCAGAGTCCCCTCTGGTTGTGGCTGGCCCTGGGTTTGTAGGTACTCTTTAGTTAAACTGTTTAGCTCATATTCATGGCCAGTCTTCATGGAGCATGACTCCACAAGATGAGTTTCTTGATTCCATGTCTCTGCTGTGCTCAGGCTGTGTATCCACCCTTGGTCTTGCCGCCTGCCAGGTTTTCTCCATAGGAAGGTAGGCATGGAGGAAGAACTGGGGTTTAAGGTCTGGTGGAGAGCAAAAGACTATCTCAGAAAGAGATCGGTGCATCAAACAGTGCATCTTGTCAGTGTATTAAGAAACCTTGCTGACGCTATTAGGTAAGCGTTGGGCTGCTAACGCCAAGGATGGTATTTCAAACCCAGGTGCCACTACTTGGGAGGAAATTGAGGCTGTCTGCTCTACTCCCCCCCCCCCCCAAACATCCCACATCCATGTTCATTGTAAATGAGTGTACTTTTTTAGTCTCATCAGTTCCATTAGGGACATAGTAGAAAGTTGATATGTGAGTAAGCCATCAACTGAGTGTACTATGTGGTGGGAATCCGAACTGGGTGAGAGTGCCCATCTATTGAAAAAAACCCAGAGTTAACAGTAATGTGGCTTGAAGATTTGTTGAATCTGTGCTCTGCAGGATGAGCTCTGACTTTGATGTCAGATAGATTTAGGTTAATTTAGGGCTCTGTTAGCCCACTCATTGACCTTGATCCCTTTGAAGAAGTTTCATCACTTTCAAAATCAGTGATTGAGGGATTAAAAACAATATAATGTTACAAAAAATAGCACCTGATACAAGGTAGGCATTAAGTAAAGAGTATTATTTTGTAATTTTTCACTCATTAAAATTTAATCTTTATAACCTATATAAATTTCAGACTTTGAAAACTTAATGCTTTTTACATTGAGTAGGCCAAGCAGTTAACTACTCTGTTAACTGTTACCAGGGGTCCATAGGGCTTGCTAACCCTGAGAGTGGTTGTGGGCTAACAAGAGGCCTCTGTATCAAATATGTTTAAGAAATATTTATTTAAACCAAGGAGAACACTTGAAAATTTTTTTCTTACATTAGAACGTTTTAGGATCTCAAAGAAATCTGATGCACAGCAAATTGCGTAAAAGATTATGGTGCACTAGTTGTCCTTCGCTTGCAGGACAATAGAACCCCTTTTGTTTATTTATTTTTCATTTTGTAGCAGATGTCAAATGAGATCATTATTCCTGGCACACACTTTGAGGAAAACTTATCCAGAATAGTTCACATAGTATATTAAGTGAATACATGATTCTACTTAGTGCGTTCCGTTGGAATATGAGATGAGGTGAGTAAATGCCATACAGCAAGACATTAAAGTCATTTTACCACGTTTTCTTATTAAAGAAGTGGTTGTGTTTTTGTACAATTGCTTTTGACCCTGAGGCTCACCACTGAAAAAACTATCTGTTGACCCAATTTGACGATTAGAAAATATTTTGAAAAGACTAAGAAAAATAAATCATCAGTAGAAAAAGAAGTAAGTATGTCATAATGAAGTTATTGGCCAAATGAAAAGAACACATTATTAGATGTCTTTTTTTTTTT